TCTGGGCTGAGGCTGTTAAATGGCGTGTTATCTTATCAATAGATCGCCAAGGGCATCATTGTCTGGGAAAGTTACAGAAGAGGTATGGACTGGTCATGATGTTAGTTTTGATAAGTTACGAATTTTTTGTTGTCCTTCTTATGTGCATGTACCTGCTGATGAGAGATCCAAACTTGATGCAAAATTGAAGGAGTACATTTTTATGGGTTACAAGAAAGGAGTCAAAGGATTCAAGTTCTGGGATCCAGTTGCGAAGAAAATTGTGATCAGTAGAGTTGTTGTTTTTGATTAACAGTCCATGTTGCAGCAGAAGAAAGACATAACATTGGTAGATTTCGAGCAATTTCCAGTTGAGAAAACAAAAATTTCTCAACCGACTTCTGGTGGTTCTGCTACGGATGATTTGTAGGATTATAGTCTCGCCAGATACAGGGTGAGATGGACGAATATAAAGCCTCTGAACAAATTGGGTTTTGAAGACTTGGTCTCTTTTTCACTTACTGGTAGCAGTGATGATCCGATTACTTTTCATGATGCAGTTACTAGTCAGGAAAACAACAAGTGGATGGCTTTCATGGTTGAGGAGATGGAGTCTTTGAATCACAATCGCACATGGGAGTTAGTTCCCCTTCTTAGGGAAAGAAGCCTATTGGTTGCAAATGGGTGTATAAGAAGAAACCAGCAGTAACAGAAAAAGTGGGGGAGAAGTTCAAGGCTCGTTTGGTAGCAAAGGGTTTTTCACAGTAGAAAGGAGTTGATTATGATGAAATCTTTTCTCTTGTGGTCAGACATACTTCAATCCGAGTAGTATTTGCATTGGTGGCTAGTTGAGATTTGCATTTAGAGTAGATGGATGTTAAAAACGCTTTTTTGCATGGTGATTTAGAGGAGTAGATCTACATACGGTAACCTGAAGGTTTCACTCAACTTGAAGCGAACATTTAGTTTGCAGATTCAAGAAATCTTTGTACAGGTTGAAATAGTCTCCGATACAGTGGTATAAACGGTTTGACTCCTATATGATCAAGATTGGCTACAACCGATGTGAGTATGACTGTTGCGTCTATGTTAAGAGCCTTGATGATGGTTCTTTTATTTTTCTATTACTGTATGTTGATAATATGTTGATTGCTGCGAAGAACATGAATGATGTTATCGGTTTGAAAACTTTATTGAGTCAGGAATTTGATATTAAATATTTAGGTGCTGCAAAGAAAATTCTTAGAATGGAAATTTGCAGGGACAGAGACTCAAGGAAACTGTGGTTATCTCAACGGGGTTATGTTGAGAAAATGCTAGAAAGGTTTGCGATGAGCAGCGCAAAACCTGTGAGCACTCCATTGGCAAATCACTTTAAGCTCTCATCAGAACAGTGCCCGAAGACAAATAAGGAAGCTGAAGATATGGCAAAGGTTTCATATTCTAATGCTATTGGCTGCTCCATGTATGCAATGATATGTACTCGTCCTGATTTAGCTCATGTTGTTAGTCAAGTTTGTAAGTACATCTCTAAACCTGGTAAGCAACATTGGGAAGCAGTCAAGTGGATTTTTCAGTACTTAAAGGGTACTGTGGGACATGGAATTATTTTTGGTAGTCAGTGGGATAATCCTTTGGTTGTAGGATATGTGGATTCAGACTATGCAGGTGACTTGGATAATAGAAGATCTACAATAGGGTATGTGTTTACTATTGGTGGGGGGCCTATTTATTGGAAGTCTACTGTTCAATCTATTGTGGCACTCTCTACAACTAAAGCTGCAAAATAAGCTTTATGGCTTACTGGTTTAGTGAAGGAGTTGGGTGTTCAACAAGGTGGAGTTCAGTTGCTTTGTGATAATCAAAGTTCTATTCACTTAGTTATGAATTAGGTGTATCGTGCTAGAACTAAACATATTAATGTAAGGTTCCATAAGATCAGAGAGAGTTGGTTGCATCTGGAGAGGTTTTGTTTCAGAAGGTACATACTGATGAGAATGCCGCTGATATGTTCACCAAGCCAGTTACGACAGACAAGTTCAAGCATTGTTTGGACTTATTGAATGTTTCGAGTTGTTAAAGAAGTAAGGTAACCCAACCCACATTGAAGTTTCCAAGGGGCAGGATATTCGCCAAGGTGGAGATTTGTTAGGTATGGCTCATAAATATAACGGTAAAGAGGACAGGGGATGTAACGGTGTAGGGGGTTACGATTATGTGGGTTAGGGGTACGGGGGCGTAACCCCCGCGGTACGGTACAAGGTTATGTAATTATATACCAGGTTTTTATTATAAATAGAGATGTAACCTAAACCTATGAGACATTGAATAAAACTTCTAGCGCCGCCTAGGCACCGAGGACGTAAGCACATTGTCAAACCTCGTTAAAAATTCTTGTGTTCTTTAGTTATCTTTGCCCGATTCTTCAACACATATGATATGCTGAGAACAACCCTAGTTTCGATATGAACTTCTTGATCCAAACAACCTCTATTGTTGCTTCATTGGCTGCAATGTATTCAACCTCTGTTGTAGAATCAGCTACAGTGTCTTGCTTCGAACTTTTCCAGCTCACAGCACCTCCATTAAGACAAAACACAAAACCCGTTTGCGATCGTGAGTCATCATTGTCAGTTTGGAAGCTGGCATCAGTATAACCTTTTACACTAAGATCTTCCTCCCCTCCATAAACAAGAAATTTATCTTTAGTTCTTCTTTAGTACTTAAGGATATTTTTAACCGCAACCCAGTGATTTTCACCACAATTTGCTTGATATCGACTTTCATGCTTAAAGCATACGATACATCTGGTCGATTACATATCATGGCATACATGATAGAACCAATATCTGAAGCATATGGAATCTTATTCATCCGTTATCTTTACATTTCCTTCGAAAGAGAAATGCCATGTCTCATAGGCAAAAAACCTTTCTTGGATTCTTCCATACTTAACCTTTTCAGTATTTTGTCTATATATGTGCTTTGACTCAGACCTAGAAGTCATCTTGATCTATCTCTACAGAACTTAACTCCTAAGATATACGTTGTCTCATCGAAATCTTTCATAGAAAAATAACTATCTAACCAAGTCTTAACAGACTGTAAAGTAGGTATATCATTTCCTATGATGAGTATGTCTTCTACTTACAAGATTAGGAAAGAAACAATGCTCCCACTAGCCTTCTTATAAACACAATGATCATCTTCATTTCTGATAAGACCAAATTTTGATTGCATCATTGAAACGAAGATTCCAGCTTCAAGAAGCTTGCTTTAGTCCATAAATATACCTCTGTAGCTTACAAAACTTTCTAGCATTTCCTGGAGCGACAAAACCTTATGGTTGTTTCATATACACATCCTCTTCAAGTTTTCCATCAAGGAAAGCGGTTTTGACGTCCATTTGCCAGATTTCATAATCATGGAATGCAGCTATTGCGAGCAAGATCCGGATGGACTTAACATAGCTACAGGGGAGAATGTTTCGTCATAGTCTACACCATGAACTTGTCGAAAACCTTTAGCGACTAATCGCCCCTTGTATGTTCGTCTTAGTCACTTTAACCGCAACAGAATTTGGATAGGATGCTGGTGCATTACATGTGGTATATAACCCGGAAGGGAATAATGCTTGGGTAGTGAGTTTCGATAGATGCAAATAGTTGTTATGCTTAGTATATTTGTTGCGCTTCATATATCAATAGTCAAAATACTTTATCTAGCTTGTCATGTGCCTCGGTTTGTAGATCTCACGAGTGTTCCATTTTTATTCATTGATTTATATTCTTTTATTTTGCTTACTTTTATTTTTAACGCGTTACTTGCCTTCACAACAAACTATTGCAACTCGCACTATTTTAATTTTCTTTTTACAGAGTTAGTCTTAGCAACAGTAAAATGCTATTCTTCATTCTCTGTGGGTTCGACATCGCTGAATGGCTATCTCCACTATGAAATCGATGGGGGTGCACTTGCGCCTATTGCAGTCACATATCTGCCGATCAATAACACTCAAAATAAGCATGGACATTACTCTTATATCAATGAACAAATAAAGTCGTCTCGAACATTTTCAGGATCCCGAGTGAAAATTTTAAAATAGATCTTTATAAAACGAAAGTATATTCTATTACGTTTAGCAATTAATTTAATATTAGTTTAATAAATCTTAGAAAAATGCTTAAATTTTGTCAAACGTTATGTTCATTATTTTGTCAAGAGAACACCATAAATTCAACTAAGAGAATAAATATAAAAATTGAATGTGGGTATGATACGAAGCTTGATTTTGAACGGTAAATAAAGACTAAAGAATAGCATGTTATTTTACTATTAGATTGAGATTAGACAAGACTAAGAGTTAAAGAATATTTGATAAATTGAAGAATGAAATTTGAATAGAAAGAATAATATGATTAGATTTAATTCAAAACTAAATGAATTAATGAGAGATATGAAGAAAGGGATAAGAAAGTGACAATTTTATGGAATTTTTTATAGATTGAGGTGATTACAAAATTATATATGTTCATAAACTAATTATTCGAACCCACAATGTTTAAAAAGAATAACACTAACCATTGAAGTCATTCAATGTGTTTACTCAAACTCGTAAGTTTGATATCTATGTTAACAATGAACAAAATAATTGTCCATATATTACAAAAATATTAGATTAATTTTAACTTTTTACATAAAACTACAGTTATATTGATGAATTCAATGATTGATTTACTTAGGTACTAATCATATATAGATCTAATTTATTTTATAAAAATGGTAAAAGTATTAGACTCAAGAAGCACGAACAAAATGATTCAGTAGTCAAAGGGATGATTGTTATCTTTAGAGGTTTTAGGTTCGAGCTCCAACTACTACAAGGTATTGAGATTCGTTGTCAAATGATTGAAAGTTTTTAAAACATATATTACCACGTGTAATCATCCTAAATTAATAAAAAAAATAATCTCAAGAAAAGAGCAAAGTGGGGTTTTGGATACACTTAAAAAGACCAAAACTTAAGAGAAGGAACCCAATATGTTTATTAGATTACATGGAACAAATCCACATATGTTTCGTCACTGAGCTTATATAATTAAATGGATATCTCATATACTCATACTTTCATCAATAAGCTTTTCTTCTGATGTCTCTGAAGGTCTCAATGACCACTTGTTTAGCCTCTCTGATGCTTTATTAACCTGAAAAGACAAAAGAAAAATTATCATTGCAAATTCCTCCAATACATATGTGGAGCATAAACCATAGGTCAAAGTTAATTTTGAAATTTATAAGGTACTAACAAATTAATTAAATAAAAGAATTGAGGGTTGAAATATAATTTGTCTAATTTTAAAATTGACAAATCTTAGAAAGTAACTAAACTAAAAAAATTAAGTAGTCAGCGTTTAGTTATATTAATTTTAAAACTAAGAGGATTTTAACAAGTAATTAAAAAAATAGGTAACCGAAGTTTAATTTCATTGATTTTAAAAAGATATAAAACTAAACAGATTTTATCATATACAGAGTTTTAGATTGCGGTTGCGGCTGCATTTTCTATTGCGTTGCGTTTATTGCGATTGAGGATATAACGGATGATATTGCAGTCGGTGCGGGTATCGTGGTCGTGAAAATTTTCCAAATGAATTGATTTTTTCTAAAATTGAAATAACGGAAAATAGCATAATAGTGACCGCTATTGCTGCAATTCCCCTTTATCAGTTAAATTGAGACCACGATCCGCTACTGTTGGTGTGATTCCACTGTACACCACTATTTTCCGTGATAGCGGTCTCGAATACAGCCGTGATCGCAATATAACTATCGCAATACCGCTATCCGACCACTATTTGAATCCCTGATCATATATATAATCACCGTTTTATTTACCTGATCTTCCCAATCCGTCCTTGAGGTGATGTAAGCTAGAACAACTGTCTGCGTTGCAACCCCAATGATCATACCAATCCATAAACCCTGTAAAGATGAAAGGAATATTCATTTGTGTTAGTTTAATTCTTCAGATTGCCTATAATATATATATATATATATGCTAATGTTATGATGAACATATAACCTTAGCTTCCATTTTGGCTACATAAGCAAGAAGAATTCCCAAAGGCACACCGACCGCATAGTAGGAACATATGTTTACATATGCTACCATTTTTTGTCTACCAGCTCCAATTGCTACCCCTGCATTTCACCATTTTTTAACCTCTAATTCTGCTTAAAACCAAACATTATGACATGAAATGTGGATATGCTTTTGCCTGAGAGGATCGGCTGAACACTGTTGAGCAAAACCGAGATCGAAAGTAACACGGAGAGGTCTGCCACCGAGTTTGCCACTTCCGCTTCCCTTGTAAACAAGTACCCTATCTGATGACCAAAAATTAAGCACAGAGCCCAGAAGAACACTCCGATGCAAAGCGATGTACATGTTATAACTTTCACTGAAAATTTCGCAGCTTGGGCATTTCCTCTCCCTAGTTCGTTCGATACGCGCACGCTGTCGAAGGTAAAAAACCGTGTGTGACTAGGGTGTTCTCGACTTTTCTTTTTGAATTGATCCAAAAGATACTAACCTGGTTGCGGTTAGGAAGCCGAAGGAAATCATGAGTTGCCAAGCTATGATATTGAGGCTGCAATGTGATGTATATTCTTTGATTAAATTCGAATCAGAAAAAAAGGATGAAGGAAATTGAAAATCATACCAGATGGAGAAGGCATCTATGGCAACTGCAGCATTTTTCATGTACCCTGCCAACAGAACTAGAACGGCATAGTACCATAACTCTAAGCTGACAATGCCAACAATCAATGTTTATGTTAATAAGATTGAAGAAGCAAAGATTCCAAGATGTGGAGGGAAATGGGATTTCACCAAAGCATCACCCCGGACGATATCGAGAGCTTAAGCACGCCGAATAGATCGAGAAACGCAGCAGAAGTGAACCCGTTCCATGTGTTGGGACACCATCCACCAAATACATAAATAAACTCCCCAATGAGCACCAACCAAGTTGATATGATCATTGAACTCATGGCACCAGGGATGCCCCAATTCAATTTGCTCACAAAAATCCACGACAACAACAGATGAACGCTGAACGAGGCGGTGGAAATCCATCCGACAATCGTGTTCTTAAGCTGGCATTGCAGGTACTTTTGGATGGTGAAGTTGAAAACAAAGGAGTAGAGTATGGGGATGAACCAAAGAGAAATATATCCGGCGGCAGACGCGATATCTTCGTTTTCTCCAAGTAATTCGAAGATCGACGACGCGAAGATAAACACCGGCAGCAGAACAGCTGAGGTGAGGAGATTGATGATCCACGATCTTTGTAAGTAGATACCAAGCATGTGGTATTGTTTCGCTCCGAATGCTTGCCCGCAAAGCGTCTCGGTCGCACTCGACATCCCCAACTGCACAACAAGGCCAAATTAATCAATCTGCAGGGTCTAATGAAACAGAAACTGTGAATGGATTTGATCATAAGATATACCAAAATTCCATTTGAAAATCGAACCGCAATGACTTGTATAAGGGCGTATGCTGCAAGCTCCAGTTGACTAATGTGCCCAATGAAAGCTTGGGTCACTACGAACATGCCAAAAGCTGTAACCCTAGCTAAAATGGAAGGGAACCCAATCTTCCATAGCTGTTTTGATTCCTCCCAAACTCTGTTTCTCAGGTTACTGTTGTTGTTTTCCTTTGGTTCTTGTGACTTGAGAAGCCTCTCATCCATGTTGCTGCCGGTTTCACTGGTGCAATAATGCAAGAAAAAAGGACAAATACATGGGTAAAGTAGTGATTTACAAATACATGATGTCACGTCATATTATGATAGATATTGGAATAGGGTAAACTACACGTTTAGTACACCAATTTATTCTGTTTTGGTCACCACTATTATTTTTTCCAAATTATATCTAATGTTACGTTTTGGTGTTATTTTTGCCACTCGCCGACTACTAACATGACATTATTATCTTATAGTGATAGCATCATCGTTAATTTTTTAACGGTGAGTGACAAAATGAAACCGAACATACGTTATCTATGATTTTGAAACAAAAAATAGTTAAGGTAATCAAAATGAAACAAAAGTGATAATTTAAGTGCTAAATGTGTAGTTTACCCTTGAAATTATTATTTTTTTTAAATTTTTTAAAGAAAAGAAAGAAAAGGAGAATTGAGATCCAATTTCGGACTTAGTGAAACCTGGCATGTGAATCTTTTATTAGTGATATTTGATTCGATTCTTTCATATACGCATGATCATATACAGGTATAGTCAATTTTGATGATAATAAATAGCCTTTTTCTTTATCGTGTTTCTCATGAGAGTGGAAATAAAAGAAATATTTATTTATTCATATTTATTTGTAAGTTGAATGTGTAAATGACACCAGTCGAACTGAGTATTACTGATTTAACCCAATTCAAAAAATATAAAATTGAATTAGACTTGATTAGAATTCACGAGTTTATAATGATTAAGTTCGATTTAAATCTAATATAAAAAATTAAAACTAGACACGAATTTGAAAAGATATAAACTCGAAATACTCTCTTTATTCGATTAGAGCTCGAATTAAAATTCAGTTCAAACTCGAATTCAAGTCCGATTATAAACTTTAAATACATGAAAACCTAATTGATATTACGTAGGTTTTAGTTTATATATATTTCATATTGTGATAGTTTAATTTTCTTATAAGCATAAAAATGAATATTAATTCAATTACTAACTTAAATATATTTGTTTGATTAGAAAGATAAATGGATGAAGTTAAACAAATAATAAATTATGAGATTTAAATCTATATATTATTAAATTCATCTTACCGCTACAAATTTTAGACGGATAAAAGGTAAAAAAAAATGAAATAACTTTTTTCTCAATTAAAATTTCATAATATTAAAAGACATAACCTTTTTTTTCGTTAGAAACAAAAAGTAAAAGCAAAGTTCAATTATTGTAAGTGATATGAAAAAAAAATGCTTAGTGTCGAGTCCACTAACCAAACGCTTCAACAACTTTTATTCCCCTTTGGAAGATTCTTTTTGGTCTTACTGTTAAAGTTGCTTGCGAATAGTTAAAAAACAGAAAAAATCGAAACCGGTTTTTCGGTTCGGTTTTTTTAACGGTTCGGATTTTTCGGTTCGGTTTATCGGTTTTTTAATAAAAAAAATCACTTGAAACTATAATTTATTTTTTACAAAAATTGCCTATTCGGTTCAATATGGAACAAATGGGTTCCATATGAAAAACTCGAACCGAACCGAATAAAAAAATGAGCCTTTAATCGAACGAAACTAACCGTTAAAGCAACCGAACCGAAACCGTTTTACTCGATTCATTTTGTTTTTCAGTTTTCTCGGTTTCGTTGCTCTGCCCTAATAGACAAATGGGTTCCATATGAAAAACTCGAACCGAACCGAATAAAAAAAATGAAGCCTTTAAATCGAACTGAAAACTAAACCGTTTAAAGCCAAACCGAACCGAACCGTTTTACTCGATTCATTTTGGTTTTTCAGTTTTCTCGGTTTCGTTGCTCTGCCCTAATAGATAACCAAACCAATTACTTTTTCATAAACTAATGGAACTGAGTTAATTTCAATTACGTTGACTGGTTTTAGTTGGAGAATAATATTCTTAGGCTCAATGATTTATCGCTATATCTATTTTACATTCAATATAATTTTTAACTTGAGAAAAAATAATATAATATTATGACCAACGAGAACAGTATCATTATAATGTTAATATAAAGGTGCTTGTTGATATGATATTTCGTGATACTAATTTAGCAATTCATATGCGAATAATGACATGATACATGAAATTAATTGGTCTTTTAGAAAGCTCAAAGACCTACTTGATTTTTTTAGAAAATTTGATTTTTTTAGAAAATTTGTTTTTTTAATCTTTAAGAAACAATTAATATATATATATATAATTTTAAAAAAATAAAAAGGTAACATAATTAAATATTAAAAAACCATTAAAAAAATAAAAAATAGAGAATGGTTTAAAATTTTAAAAATATTAGAAGTTATAATAAATTATTAAAAAATTAAAAATACTTATAAAGTATTAGAAAAATAAAATATTCTTATCATAAATATCTTCAATTATCTCGTGTCAACCAGATTTACATTAACTGTATTTTCAATAGAATCAACCTTATATTAGAGTAATAGTACTTCAATTAGGATATTATTATATAATTACGATCCTAACATATATGTGTGTTTTTTATTTTATCAAAAATTATTTCTGTGGTACAAATGTTTAGGGCCCCCTATATGTTTTGCGCTAATTGTTCCTTTATCAGTATGACCTTTACTACAACGATGTTGTCTTGTCCACGTATAAAAGTACTTCTAGATTGGATTTCACTTGGACCGTTTACGATTCTATTACGTCTGCTTGGGTAGAATATTTGTATAAATGTATTATCATGTTATTAAATATTTTGATCTATGTTCTTTCTTTTCTAAAAAAGTGGAATAAAATAATTTGATTAAGTTGTAACGTCTCAAATTTTGGATTAATAGTTTTATGTTGACCCCAGTAAATCTTTGATGAACCTATTAGTTAATAAGAATCATTGGGCCAAGTTTGGGCTTGCTTTAGGTTAGGATTGAACCCAAAAGGTTATAAAAGGGTGTTTTTGGTTTGGAATCAAAGTATAAGGATCAAATGTATAATTTTACCATTTTCTCTCCCATTTCCTATCCAAGAGCCATAACTAAAGGTAAACCCTTCGAGCTTTTTTATGTTTCCTTTAAACCTAAAACTTGTCCCTAATCTCTCCAAAAACCTTGTATTAAAGATTCAAAGGTTGGTATTTCATGTTTTGCTAGAGAAAGTGGGGTTTATCATCCAGGTCTTGAAGGAGAGTGATAGCTAGCTAAAGGAATTCCATTTCGAGATTATCTTAGTAATGTAGTGCATTTCGAATGCTTAAATTGTATTTTTAGGGTGCGAGATAACCTTAAGTAATTTTCTTAAGCTTTAGCAAATGATTTGGGACCAAACTAGATTATTTGAGAGATTTTTTGGGTTTTTCTTGAGCCTAAGAGAGACATTTATGAGTTTGAGTATCGGTACTGGAATAACAATACTGATACAGAATACCAACTGTCTAGACGTTTCTCTGCCCGGCGATGGAGAGTGCAAATAGTACACCCCAACTGTATAAATAGTTTAAAAAAAGTAAGTATTATCATCCATGAATTAGATGAAACACCAAGTTGTAGAGTCGCCACCAATCTTTTAATTTGGTGAGATTGGTCACCAAAATATTATATTTAATAATATTCTTAAGAATAATATTAAAATAATACAACTCAGGTCTGCTTACCAGAAAAATGAGGGAGTCGGTTACGTATGGGGAAGGATTAGCACCCCCATAACGCCCAAAATTGGTACCGATATTTATTAATTAGTGTCTTTGCAATAAATTATAAATTTGCTCTTTAAAATTAAATTTACAAATAATTTAATATAGATAATTACTAAATAATATTTAACGTAAATATTGCTAATTCTATTGTATTTAATACTAAAACTATATAGATTAGATTTAAAATTAATCTAATATATAAAAGTGCTAATGTTATAATTAATCTTAAAATAATGATTAACATATAAAATAATAAACTAATTTACCTAATTTGAAATTTTACTAGAATAATGTACTAATACTGTAATTTAATATTTATTATGAATAGGGCTAAAATATAAACTACTAAAATATAAAGGACTAAATATATGATTTTACCTTAATATATATATAAAAATAAAAGTGACTAAAATGTAAATAATTAAAATATGAAAACAAAATTAGAATGTATGAAAAACCTGATTTCGGGATCAAAATGGAAGGATTACAAAAGGTGAGGTACTGTGGACATAGTTTGACCACGCGCTAATTACCCAGAAGCCCCTCTCCCAAAACGACACCGTATGAGAGAGGGTATAAATGGCCCGAATTTGGCCCAAAGAGGGTAAACCCTCTCATTTCTTTCGTTTCCCTCTATCTCTAGACAAGAGATGCTCTGGCATCTCTCTAAAAGCCTTCGTCGGAGGTACATCGGCCACCGGCCCGTAACCTTACGTCGTCGATCGCTGCCATGAGTGGTGGCCGAAAAATACAAAACTTACCTAAAATGTAGACCGAGACCCCCTCTACCCGATTCCAAGTTCATTTTCTCCTAAAAATCTCCAAAAATCGGTAGATCTAAGTTTATACCTTCGAAATCCCAACGTTTCGACGACGTGTTATGGCTCCTCGGTAAGTTTCTTTTCCTTTTTAATTTCGATCTGTTGATGACTATTGGTTGTTATTCTCTGGTTACTATCTCATTGTTGTCTCTATCTCTCTCTTGTTGTTGTATGTTCTTGCTTGTTCTTTGGTTTTGTTCCTCCTACAGGTTAGGCTATTTATAGTCCTCGATCCCCGTCCATAATGATGGCTCTACCCGGTGAGTCATCGGACCTACGGTGGTGACTCACCCTAGAGTGATGTGTTGTGCGGCACTCAGTGGCCTGGAACCTTCTGGATAGCTCTAGAGAGGCGGCAATCGTTGTGGCAGCATCTGGTTGGAGTAGTGGAGGCGGTGGTCGGAATAGGCCTTAGGGTGGCAATGATACCCTATGGTTCCTGCTGGTTGCACTGGTGACCGTTGGATATACATTTGATCGTGCGACTAGGATTTGTATGGGGCTGGAACAGTTG